TGTGTGTGTGTGTGTGTGAGAGAGAGAGAGAGAGAGAGAGAGAGAGAGAGAGAGAGAGGTGTGTATCTCTGTGTGTGAGAGAGAGAAAAACAGAGACAGAGAGAGAGTTGTGTGTATGTGTGTGTGTGAGAAACAGAGAGAGAGAGAGAGAGAGAGAGAGAGAGAGAGAGAGAGAGAGAGAGAGAGACTGGGGGACAAATGAAGCAGAGAAGAGACAGCAGCTTTCTGATGACATATTCGGACATTACTGTGAAGGACTGCTGTGTCCATCCAGCCTGGGATGCTGTCCAGGTTGGAACCATGATACTGATCTTACTAAGAACGTTTCTCCGGCTGAAATCTTTCCACTCAACCCTCTGCACTGTGGGAGGGCCACCCCAGGAGGAGCCAAAGGGTCACCACTGCTGCTCCTCCTGTCTGAAAGTTGAAAGTAGTGGCAGGGAAGGAGGGAAAGAGGCCTCCCCTGTGTGGTTCACTGCAGAACTGTCTCATTTCTAGCAACTCTGGGGTCCTTCTGAAGCGCCTCGCCACGCCCTCTGGTCTTGGAACTCCTTAGGAACTCCTTAGGGACTCTTGGGGTTCTACGCCTCCTCATCTGACTGAAGTCTGTTCCCCAGTTCATGGCAGGGTCTCAGCAAAGCTTCCTGAACCCCAACTCAGGGGCCTTGCTTCATGAGCCGAGTGTGAGAGGTGGGGGTGGCATTATGGATGGAGGTGACAGCAGGCCGCTAGGCTCCAGCTGAAGCTGCACTGCCTCTCTGTCCCTGGCCCATCAGCCTCCAAGTCCTGCAGCAAGTCCATCTCCTTCTGAGCCAGAGGCAGGAATTCCACAGCTCCTGTGCCGCTCCTGGCAGTTGCTGACCCAACCAATCACAGGGAGTCACCCTCCTTCTCCCTCCAGGCCTGGAGGTGCTCACCGGCTAACACCTGCTACGCCCATAGTCAAGTTCTAAGCCATTCCACTGGCGTCTACTGGTGCCTGGCCCACACCGCCCCTCCAGGGCTCTGGGTATTTTAAGCCTGTTAAAATTTGTGATTCGGGAAAAGGGGGTGATACTAAGAAGAAAAGTCTTCCTTCCCGACTCAAGAAGAGATAGAAGGTCCAGGGCTGCAGAGATAGCTTAGTGGTTAAGAGTTTGCATTGCCCTCTCCAAGGACCTCAGTCCGGGTCCCAGCACTCACACCAGGTGGCTTGCAAGCACGTATAACTCCAGCTCTAAGGGATCCAAAATCTTTGACTGTACTCCTTGGGTACCAGCACTCACATGCATATATCCCTACACACACACACACACACACACACACACACACACACACACACACACTTAAAAATAATGATTTTTTAAAAAATATATAAAATCACAGATTCAACGCAATGCCCATAAAAATCCCAGCAAAATTTTTCAAAGACCTCGAAAGAACGGTATTCAATTTCATATGGAAAAGAAAAAATCCAGGATAGCCCAAACAATCCTGTACAATAAAAGAACTTCTGTAGGCATCACAATCCCTGACTTCAAACTCTACTACAGAGCTACAGTACTGAAAACAGCCTGGTATTGGCATAAGAACAGACAGGAGGACCAATGGAACCAAATAGAAGACCTGGACATCAATCCACACATCTTCGAACTCATGATCTTTGATAAAGAAGAAAAAAATACCAAATGGAAAAAAAAGAAAGCATATTTAACAAGTGGTGCTGGTATAACTGGATATCAACATGAAGAAGAATAAAAATAGACCCATATCTATCACCATGCACAAAACTCAAGTCCAAATGGATCAAAGACCTCAACATAAAGCTAGCCACACTGAACCTTATAGAAGAGAAAGTGGGAAGTACACTTGAACACATTGGAACAGGGAACCACTTCCTAAATAGAACCCCAGTAGCACAGACACTGAGAGAAACAATTAATAATTTTCCTGAAACTGAAAAGCTTCTGTAAAGCAAAGGACATGGTCAACAAGACAAAACGACAGCCTACAGAATGGGAAAAGATCTTCACTAACCTCACATCAGACAGAGGTCTGATCTCGAAAATATACAAAGAACACAAGAAATTGGACACCAAAAGATCACAAAATCCAATAAAAAATGGAGTACAGACCTAAACAGAGAATTCTCAACAGAGGAATCTAAAATGGCTGAAAGACACTTAAGGAAATGTTCAACATCCTTAGTCATCAGAGAAATGCAAATCAAATCAACTCTGAGATTCCATCTTACACCTGTAAAAATGGCCAAGATTAAAAACACTGATGACAACTTATGCTGGAGAGGATGTGGGGAAAAGAGAACACTTCTGCATTGCTGGTGGGAATGCAAGCTGGTACAGCCCCTTTGGATGTCAGTGTGGCGATTTCTCAGAAAATTAGGAAACAACCTTCCTCAAAACCCAGTAATACTACTTTGGGGTATATATCCAAAGGATGCTCAATCGTGCCACAAGGACATGCGCTCAACTGTGTTCATAGCAGCTTTGTTTGTCATAGCCAGAACCTGGAAACAACCTAAATGCCCCTTGACCAAAGAATGCATAGGGAAAATATGGTACATTTACACAATGGAGTACTACATAGCAGAAAAAAACAACAACATCTTGAATTTTGCTGGAAAATGGATGGAGCTAGAAAACATTTTGAGTGAGGTAACCCAGACACAGAAAGACAATTATCGCATGTACTCACTCACAGGTGGCTTTTAAACATAAAGCAAAGAAAGCCAGCCTACAAACCATAATCCCAGAGAATTTAGCCAACAATGAGAACACTAAGAGAGACTTACATAGATATAATCTACATGGGAAGTAGAAAGTAGAAAAAGACAAGATCTCCTGAGTAATTGGGAGCATGGAGACCTTGGGGAAGGGTTGAAGGGGAAAGGGGAGAGGCGGGGGGAGGAAGCAGAGAAAAATGTAGAGCTCAATAAATATCAAAAAAAATATAAAATCTAGATAAGACCCTAGCAAGTACAGATTGAATTAGTAATCATGGTCCTTCACAGAGAAAGCCTAGAAACAGGTGGCTTTCTGAATGACGGACACCTGCCCTATAGCTTCTCCCCAAAAACAGCAGAGGAGGGAGCATTTCCCTCTTCACCCTGACAGGCCAGGGTTGCACCGACACCAAAACCAAACAGAAGGGCCAAGAAGCAGGAAGAATACAGGCTAGGTGTGGTGGTGCATACCTGCAATTCCAGCATTTGGAGAAGCTGAGGCAGGAGGATGCCCAATTCAAGGCCAGCGTGGGCGACATAGTGAGTTGAAGGGCAGCTTGGGCTACATATGAGACCCTGTCTCAAAGACAACAGCAATAGCCTGTGCCCCTCAAGTCCCCCCAAAACAAGCTGGCACTTTCCCGAGAAGCCCACACCCCTACTCTTGAGTATGGCTTTTATTTAAATTATTTATTTATTTATTCTTATTTTATGTGTATTGGTGTTTTCCCTGCATGTCTGTGTGAGGATGTTGGATGTTGTGAGCTGCTAGATAGGTATTGGGAATGGAACCCAGGTCCTCTAGAAGAGTAGACTGTGCCCTTACCCACTGAGGCATCTCTCCAGCCCCACTTGAGTATGTCTTATTTCCTTCCACAGCACCTCTTTCTCTCTTAACCTTCATGCTTAAAAAAATGTCTTTTAATAGATTCCAACTCTTCAAGGAAAAGGAAAAAACAACAACAAAAACCTAAAGCCCAAACCAAATTAAACTGTATAAATCAGCAGAGTTTATGAATATAAATGTAAAAATCTCCCACCGTACCAATCAGATTGAACAACAGAAAGGGCGGTAGGCTCTGAGCAAGAGAGTCCTGTCCTAAGAATGCAAGGTTGGCTCGACATGTGAGTAGAAATGTAATTCACAGTATCACTATAACACAAGACCAAGCAGGATGTGGCCACTTGCTGCTGGGTGACCTTGGGAAGCAGTGGCCCTCAGAACCAGCTCGTCACCTGTGAAGGAATGCTAGAATGAAATATGTCTCCAGTAAACGCCGTTCAAATGCTGGTCCATGCCCTAGTGTGACCCCAGCGTACCACTGGTGAGGGCACATCCACAGAGAGGGTCTGGGCTGTCTGCGTGTTCAAAGGGGTTCAGGGTCGGTGGGTGACCGTGCCTTGCTCCATTGGATCGGAAGCACACTTTATATGCCAAATCCTGCCTCCAAATCTTTGTCCCCACGGCTACACCTGGCAGAACAGCCACCTTGTTCTGTGAAATCAGTGTACATTGTCCCCAGCTCAAGCCACACCTCATTCAGCCTTTCTCACCCACAACTGCTCCCTCTCCCTACTCTATAAAGGTCCCAGCGGTGCATATTTAACCCGTACTACCTTCAGGACCCAACACTCCTCTTCCTAGTATCTGACCCAAGATCCTCAGTTTCCTGACCAGTTTGGCACAAGAATGGATGACACTCAGCCAGGTAAGAACTGAGGCTGTGACAATACCATTTGCTTCCTCACCCTGTGCCCTGGACCCAGTGGCCAGCATCCTCAGCCTGTGCCCTGTGGCCCACGCGGCCCATGGCCCACACATCGCACCTGCACCCTACACCCTCTGCCTGCGGCCCACACCCCACGCCTGCGCCCCACAGCTCGCGCCTGCGCCCTACACACTCACTTGGTTGGATGGAAGATGGTGCTCATCTCCTCTGCCAGGTGTCTCCGGAGGATGTGCTTCCCGCTGGGGATGCCTAGGGCGGTGGCCATGGCCTCGGCATTGAACGTGGGCTCCAACACCAGCACAGCACCGTGGACACCGCTGTTAGTCAAGTTGTCTGCATACTCCTGAGGGCGGAAGCGTGCGGCTGTGTGGTCTCAGGGACCAACCGAGCCAAGTAGAGATATGACCCTTGCGGACCAACTGATTTGAGAGTGAAGGGGACCTCTTTCTCATCCTCAGAGCCGTAAACATAGGGGTCTTAGATCACTGTCACTGGCTGGACCCTGGCAGGAGCCATAGATACTTATGGAAAGCAATATTGCTAAGAATTGCCCCAGCAATGAGAGCGTTTAACAGGGGTCCTATTATAGCAGTAAGGAATCCTCCTCCAGTGACGAAAGTGCATGACCTTGTCTGGCTGGGTGATGGTGCCCACTTACACCAAAGTGAACATTGATTTGCATGTCATTTGTTTAGGCTAGAGAACCACGCCTCCACCACCATCGCCCCTCACCTTCAGGTCGATATCGCGCACCCACTTGAGCACCCGCTGGTTGGTCCAGACCACAGGATCTGTGTTCTGCGTTTCACAGCGGGCTCGGCGCTCCTGGAGGACCTGGGAGATGGGGAACGAACAGGGAGTCAGCCGAAGAGATGAGGGACACGTGGGGTTTGCAGAGTGCTGGTGTGGTGAGGACCACCCACAGCTGCCCGGACTACACCATCTGTGTTGTGAGAAATAGAAGGAGTCACCTCCTAGGGTGCAGGGGATCAGGGGTGGGGATTGGATAGACTCACACTCTGCCTACTCAGTGTCCCCCAGGCCTGTGGCATCGCTGTGATGGGAACAGTGATGGATATTTGTGGAGACTCTGCCTATGGCAGGGAGGTTCTTAGGGACTGTGCATCCTGGTTTAAACCACCGTCTTTGGGGGTTTGGGATGATTCAGCTCGCTGCCCCTTCACAGGTTCCCAGACAGAGAGCTCCAGTGTCATACCCTCTGTGGTCGTCTGAATGAGAATGGCTCTGAGACTCATATATTTGAATCTATGGTTCCCAGTGGGTGGAAATGTTTAGGACAGATTAGGATTAGGAGATGTGACCTTGTTGGAGAAGGTGTGTCACTGAGGGTAGGTTTGGAGGTTTTCGAAGCCTCTGCCATTCCCAGTCTCCCTCTCTCTGCCTCTACTTGTGGGTCAGACGTAAGCTCTGAGCTGCTGCTCCAGCACCACGCCTACCTACCTGCTGTCATGTTTCCTGCCCTGATGGAGACAGATGAACCCCCTGAAACTGTAAGTGAGCCCCAGTTAAATGCTTTTATAAGTTGCCCCTATCACAGCGCCTCTTCACAGTAACAGAGCAGCAGCTAAGACATCCTCTCTGGGACTTCCAGCCCAAAGTTCCCTTCAGTTTCCCCATCTCAGGGGATCCTGCTCCAGGTACTACTGTCAGAACACCCCATGTCTGCCCTCTTCATCACCCTGGGGCTCCTAGAGGCCAAGGCTGGTCCCCGTCTTCTCCTTCTGCCCAGTCATGCAGAGGTGACCGGACCACAAGGCTGACCACCTTCTCTGCGATCCTCTCTCAACACTGAGCTACTTGTGCTCTGGCATGGCTCCAGAAAGTCAACCGCGAGGACCCAACCCCGAGGACCAGCCTCTCAGGGACCTCCTCCGGCGGACTTGTAGGGGATTGAGGCTGGCGTCCTGTGTTCTCTGGCTTAGCAGAATTCAGAATCAAGGGGCATCCAAACTTAAGCTACCACAACAGCCAGGGCTCTGGCTGCCACCCCCCACCAGAAGCCCATTTCCTTCCTATTCTCATTCTGTTTTGCTGCAGCAGCAGAGCTGAACTCTGGGGTTTGGGCACCATGGTCCTCTCGGCTGCATTTTCTTCCTTAATTATCAGCTGATGACCTCTGCAACAGCTCTTGTTTATCTCCACGACCTCAGGGACTCTCCTCGATCCCCAAGGTGTTTCTCAGAGCTTTTCGAGAGCCCCGTCTGTCCTCCCCAGTGCTGTCACCGTGGACTTGAGTGGGTCTCCCTGATGAGCAATGGATTCTCTGAGATTGAGGGTTCCCTAGGCCCCCTGAACTGGCCATAGGCTCTCGTCTACTCAAGTAAGGAGTTGCTAGAATGAGGAGAGAGGAAGAGATGGTTGGACGAAGGAATGGGCAAATGAATGAATGGGTAGACATATGAATAGATAGATGTGTTTATGGGTGGGTGGGTAGATGGGGAGTAGATTGACTGTGGGTAAGTATATGGGTGGGTGGGTGAAGTGTTGGATGGATGCACAGTGGGTAGGTCGGTAGATGGGAGTAGTTGGGCAATAGGTGAGCAGGTAGGTGGGTGAAGGGTTGGATGGGTAAACGGATGGGTGCATGGATGTGTGGGTGGGTGGATAGATGAGTGGATGATTGGTTGGATAGATTGAGAGATAAATAAGCGAAGGGATGGATGGACCAGTGGGTGGGTGGGTGAATGGTTGGACAGGGATTGGATATGGAGAAGGGTTGTGGGATAGTCTTGCCCCTGCCCTGCCCTTTATAGTCCTCACCTCCCTGCTGAAGTTCACTTGGTACAGCAGCTCAATCCCCAGCAGGATGCTGACTTGGTGGAACTTCTTGGAGACGTTCAGGTGCTTCTCCAGGTCCCGCTTCATCAGGGAATTCAGCATCCTCCCATCGACCAGGTGGTTCTGGAAGGCCTGGGAATACTGGGATAGGCCGATGTCGTTCAGCCAGGCCTTGGCCACCCAGTGATGGTCCAGGTCGGCTGCTTTGGACAGGCTGAGGAGATACAGCCAGAGAGAGAGAGACAGAGAGAGAGAAGTGGGAATGGGGAAAGTGTCAGAGGCAGTGGGATCAGAGCTGGGAAGAGAGGACAAAAGACAGGGCAGGGAATAGACAGGAAAGCTAGAAACCAATTGTGAAAAGGATGGGGAAGAAAAGAATGGGATGATCAGAGATATGGAGAGGGAGAGAGGGGAGAGAGAGAGAGAGAGAGAGAGAGAGAGAGAGAGAGAGAGAGAGAGAAAGCAACTAAGACAGGCACAGACAGACAGACAGACAGACACACACACACAGAGACTCAGGCAGAGGTAGGTAGGGAGGGAGAGAGCAAGGCAGATAGGCAGACAGAACTGAAGAACAGCTGAGGATCGCAGAGACAAAAATGAATATCCTTGGACCACACCCAGACTAAAACTGAAGGGGCAGAGTCAGGAGAAGTGTACCTCTGGGGGACCCCCCCCCCACCGTGACCCACCCTATTCCCCTAGGGCTCTGCAGGACTCCTCAAAGCCACAGCCTGACCATCCCCCTCCCCTGCCCACCTGACTCTACCCTCTGGTCCCTCTTCCTGGCTGGAGGAGGATGAGAAGCCTTCACGGATCCACGCATAGTGTTCCAGGTCTCCTGTCCCAAGACAGGGCTGTGGCTAAGACCTTCCCTCATTGGCTCATCTCTGAGTCAGAGAAATCCAAGTTGCCCTGTCTTCCAGGCTGCTCTCGCTACCTCACTGCCACACCTCAGATGTTTGCGCAGGACAGAACCTCGGAAGTGTGCACATTGTATGTATGTAAAAACAGGCTTTAAAATATTTATTCACTATTCTTATGTGTACGTGTGGGTGTGCCTGTGCGAGATTTAGTCCTTGGAGGCCAGAGGGTGTCCGCCTGGAATGGTGGTACTGGTTGTGCCTTCTGCAAAAAGACTTTGTGCTGATAGGCGGGGAATACACCTCGCTAAGGTGGTTCCTAGATGTCATTCTTCTGACTGCCACACGGTGGCAGCCTCACAGAAGGAATGAGGTCCTGGCAACGCAGCTGCAGAGGGACCCTGAAAAATGACCTAGAGCTGGCTAGTGGGAGCACAACATTGTCTAGGTGGGAGCACTCAGTACAAGGGAACACAATTGGCTTGCAAAGGGATGCTGTTCTTCCCTTTGGTGCAGTTGGAGATACCTGACATGGCCCATTCCATTCCTATTTTAGATGCTTCGTCCCAACACCTACAGAGTATTTTCTGGGCCGGCACTCAAGGTGCTGACAGGGTTCCCTCCTCCTTCCCTCCGGGGCCATTTCTCCATCTCAGTTTATCCCCTCCTTCAGTCCTGCCTCTCTGCTTATCATCCTCAAAGCACTCAATGCACGTTGCATTTAAGTACAAAGGGATTTATCCACTGGTTTATTATCCCTCACCCTTAATTTAGGGTACAGGAGTGGCAGTCAGGACCAGGGCCATGTTCACTGACAGTTGTGAACATGGGGACAATTATGTCTGAGGCCTGAACGGAATGGGCGAGTGGAATTGTGTTCATAAAGAAGCCGGTGAATGCTGTGGGCTGTGACGCTTCTCTCCGCTCTGAATGGGTGTGGGGCTGATTGGCAGACATGCACTGAAGGCATGTTGCACGATTAGTAAAAACTCAGAGAAAGATATTGGGGTTCGACCTGAAGACCAGAAAAGCAAAGCAATCAGCCACCTCGACCTCAGTCTGAAAATGGCGATCCTGCCTCCAGCAATCTCAGAATGAGATGGAGACTAAGAGTTGTCTCCTCCCGTTTTATAATCCTCTCTAGTTCTGGGATTGAGGGCATGCACCACTACCGCCTGATATCTATGGCAAACTAGTGTGGCTACTGGGATTAAAGAGCTGCCTGGTCTGTAAGGCTGGCCAGTGTGGCTGTCTTACTTTTCTGATCCTCAGGCAAGCTTTATTTACTAAAATACAAATGGAATCCACTATACTGGCAGAATGTCGGCACGAGTCCTGGCACCCTCTCCCTCCCTCTGCCCCAACCTCCTGGAACTGCTTGGCTGTTGTCCCACGACAGGACCCGTTGCCCACTGTTTCCTCTTTATTATCTCCTAGAGATTCCCAGACACCTTTCAGGAGTCGTCCCCCCCCCCCCCCCCGCCCGGGCCAGGGTCTTTTCTCTTGCCAACTGGGGTTGACTACAGTTTGTAGGCCAACTCCATCACTAGATTGTCCTGGCAAGGACCAGGTCAGTTCACCCAGCCCACCCAGTGGAGTGAATGCTGGGTGGTGTGTCTCATACAAGGCTGGGGGAGGCTTTGGGCTCCACTCTGCCCTGATGAGGCTTCTAAGCCAGAACATTCCAGCCCAAGGTAATCTTTCTTCTGGGATGAGGGTTCCAGTACATAGTCCTTTCACCCTCCAGGGATGGCCTACCTTGTCCCAGAGGGCCCTTGTCCAGCCCCAGCCCTCTCGGCCATCATGGCTCTGAATTGGATGCTCGCTCATGGGACTAAGGGGAGAATGCCCCCCATCCTTCTGAAGCCAACAGTGCCACACTGTTAGGGGAGGGGAGCGGTGGCCAGGAGGTACACCTGGCCTGACTTCCTCAGCAGTGGCTCATTTGTAACCAGCACTGTCCCTCTACAGGCTCCCAAAGAATGCGTCTGACCTCCAAAATGCCACTGCACTGAAACTTGCCCAGATGCGACTCAGAGCTGACATAGGAACTCAAGTCTGGCTTCCAAAGGAATCCAATCACTATGTCGTCAACAGTTGTCAGTACCTCTTCCTCAGGTGGAGCGAGGCCAGACCCCGAGGTCTGAGGACAGGCGTGTCATATAGAGACATCTGGATCATGCTTCAATAGAAACATAGGGAGGCTGTTCTGGGTCTGGGACCTTGCAACTCCAGGGCTCAGTATCCTCTGTCAAAATAGAGATAGCCACACTCACCGCATGGAGTGGTGGGGACCAAAGGAGTTGGAGAACGGAAATCCCTAAGCCCAGATGCATAGGCAACAGTAGATGACACCGTTTCTAACACTGTCACCATGGGAGCATGGAAAGACAATGCCGTTAGAGCCAGCTCTGACGGGGTACGACTTTTTTCATATTGCTTATCTGCACTCAATTCTTCATCTCTAAGATGGGGATGATTCTGTCTGAGGCATGGGTGGAATGGGTGAGAGGAATTGTGTTCATAAAGAGACAGGTGAAGGTTTGGCAAGGGGGTTGCTGGGTCCAGGGCACCCATGTCCATTATCATAGTTGGAAGAGTTTGGGACAACCCACCTTGGGACTCCGACCCCAGAGTCCACGGCCTTTTGGATGTTCTATGACCAAGTCAAAAGGCTCACGATGCAAAGTTACGCAGTCTACGACAGTTCATCTGGAGAAGGCATCGAAGCCTCTACTGGATTCCTAAAAGGCTCCAACCCTGAACTTTTGGTTAACTTAGTCCCAGAGAAGGCAAAGTGACCTCACATGGTGATTTCACAGTTGGTCTTTCTTCATAGGACTTGGGCTTTCTAATGTGGGAACCCCTATGTCCCTTAGGATCATCCTGCTTCAACTCTTCCCTGCACACGTGATCGTGCTTCTGAACCACACCTTTTTGAGCTCCTGGTGGATTTAGGCTCAACTCCAGCCATGGACCAGTGTTTATCCCCTCCATCCGCATATATGATGGTGTCTGAAGTGAGTCCACGGGAGACGTTAGGGTTACCTGACGTCCCTGATGGGAAGTGATTATCCCCCTCTCTGTGCAATGATCCTGTAAGAAGGCTGCAGTGTGTAACCAGGAGGGGTGCCCCTGCTGAAGCCTGGCCATCCTGGCACCTTGCTGCCTTAGACTTGTAGCTTTCAGAGCCGGGAGAAATAGATGTCCGTTGTTTATGCTACCCAGTTGGTAGCATTTTGTTTTAGCAACCCAAGCTGATAGGGACAGCCATGCTTTGGAAACAGTGGTGGATACTTAGACAGTGGTGGATACTTAGACAGTGGTGGA